CAAATAACAATTCAATGAACAATGCAGAAACATTTTCTTGCAGTATGCTTTAAAATCTTAAGAAAAAACAGTATTCTGGCACAGCCTTTTTTTACAATGAAGGAAAAAACACTGTTATGCTTTCAGGCTACTCACATTAATAGCCTTGGAATGTGATGATCTTCAGTTGTGATCAAAAACACTGTAAATGAGGCACTGAAGAACTGAGAACTGCTCGCAGAGGTCTGATATCATGGTGTGATAAACAAAGCTTACACGATTGTTTTTATTGTAGAAATGTTTTCCATCTTTGTGTGTGAACATTATGAAGTATTACCATTCTCATCAGGTATAGTATTTCCTGTTCTATAGACAATGTAATGGTTTTAAGGGACCACTGAAGGTACCTTGAGAATACTGGAGCCGCATGCTCTGTTTGGAGGAGACTGCTGTGATTGACAGACGGCTTCACAGAAACCATCTTTGAAACCTGAACAGTTGGAGCCAATTTTCCCTGTGCCTTTACCCAGAGGGCCGGATGCAGGACACAGGCCTGCCGAGCAACCTGAGACCCTATGGGGGGAGGGGGGGAATTGAAATTCTCTGCAGGGAAAGAAAAAGGGGAGTCTTTCAAGGGGCCTGGATCGCACCACCCTTTGCTCCCAGCATGGCTTATTTTTTGATAAGGGCATTCGCTGTCAGCACACAACTCTCCTTTCAATATGTATGCCTGGAGATTCTGTTTTTTCTCAACAAGCAAAGCCGAGATTTGCAAAGCTTCAAACAGACAGTGTAAACAGCAGGATAGCTGCTACACAAGGCGCAGAGACACTCGGTGCCACCTGTCAATCAGTGGTGCATTCAGGATCCATGTTGGACACGTTCTTGGTAATCTACTGTTTATCTCCTCTGATCAGATACAATGGGAGCCAGAGCCTTTTCTTATCAAGCTCCACATTTGTGGAATCAGCTTCCAGTTTGTGTTCGGGCGGCAGACACCCTATCCGTTTTTAAGAGTGCGCTTAAGACCTTCCTTTTTGATAAAGCTTATAGTTGGGGCTGATTAGATTCAGCCCCTAGTTTTGCTGATATAGGCTTAGTTTGTCGGGGGACATCTTACTTCTTCCTTCTCTCTGTCTATACCTGTGTACTCTCATGTTCCGATTAACCCAGCTTCCCCAAATGTCTTTCTCTTTGGTGTCTATATACGCCGGGATCCGGAGTCATGGATGATCCTGCGCTCCTGTGTCCTGGATCGCGAGCCCTGGATCTTGAGTCGTGGCTGTGGTCCTGGATCATAGGTCCTGGATGGATATCCTTGTGGATTCATCTTCCTATTATACACACATGCATTTCCAAACATTTGGACTACCTATGTTGCAAATGTATTATCTTTTCAATTTACACACGGCATCTATTGCACGTCTGTCCGTCCTGGGAGAGGGATCCCTCCTCTGTTGCTCTCCCTGAGGTTTCTCCCATTTTCCCTTTAAACTGTGGGTTTTCTCCAGAAGTTTTTCCTTGTACGATGTGAGGGTCTAAGGACAGAGGGTGTCGTATTGTCATACTGATATTCTGTACACACTGTGAAGTCCACTGAGACAAATGTAACATTTGTGATATTGGGCTATATAAATAATTATTGATTGATTGATTGATCAGATGTGCTTGGAATAGCGCTAGGCAACCAGCGATAAGGAACAACTCGAGGACCTCCCGCCCGACCCGAGGCCCTAACAGCTGCGGGTGAGAGTGATTAGAGTGTCGGTTTACTCGGGTTGACATCATTCCATCACTTCCACCACCAACCAAGGCCTCCTCTAATTAGGACGCTCCGTTGAACTCCTTCTCCGCAATGGAAGTCTGACAGGGTAGAATCGACATGCTGCATTGTGGCGATAAGGAGTTATTCCTGTTAGTTTTGGAGTAAAACTTCAAAGGATGTCGGGTGAGCAACAGGAAAACATTCCTCTCGCTCAGAGGCCATTTGGAGAAGCGATTTTCGAGTGACGACGGGACATAACGCAAGTGGAGGCAACAAAATGAAGATCAAATTAGTCAGAAGTACTCTGCTGAGAAACGTGGAAGTGGAACAGATGGGCAGTTAATGGAAGTGCAAGTCTGGTAGAGCTGAGAGCAGAGGGGAGCGCACTCAAACGAATAAAAAGTTCCTATTTTGAGGTTTTAAACAAGATTATTTCTTCGAAATAATCAGCCTTTTAGCAAAAGAGATAGTTACACTGTTTCCTTCATATCAGATAATATCTTATAAGACAAGGTTGATGACCTAAATCAGAAAATGCTTGAAAATAAACCAGTTTCTATTTAATAAATCCTTATGCACTTGATTGCGTTTTCTAAAAAATACATATTTTATGAATTCCTGTATAAATGAAACGTCAGAAGTTCTATAAGGACTTTGGGGTAAACAGTTCTTGCCAGTGAGGCAAATCCATGCACTTACTTACATTTCATTTACATCAGAGGATTGCTCTGATTCCTGGCAATATGTAACACAATCTCTAAGTGTTGAAGTAGCTGAAGTCAAACACATGAAAAGGTGGCAGAAAGACATTAAATAGGGATATCTTTTTCTAAGTTCACATGTTTGGATCAGGGAATAGTTTTAGGTTCTCAAGCTGCTGCTGCCAAAGAATTCCCAGCCTCAGTGTAACTGAGTAAGTTCTGGCCTGAAAGCACAATGTGGTTAAAACTCGTAGCCCGCAGAATCCTAACAATCATTTTATCTCCAAGGATGATAGTGGCTCAGTGTTCAGATCAAATATACAAAAGTAATGCACTCAGCTGCCTTAGCTTTTTTCAGCACTCTCATGACCAATCATAGGTTTTAATTTCATCCTTTTTTAGGTTACGTCTAAAAAATATATGCCAGTTTTCAGTGCTTTTTAAAAACAACTTCTTAAACGAGCATGTGAGGAACACTTCAACAACAACTGAGCGACATGTTACGTGGCTAAGCCTTATGTGGACATAGCATAAGACACAGTGTCATAAAGGAAATTCAAGCATGGATTTAGGTTTACATCTTGCCGCTATCACATCATCATAATTTGGGCACTCTTAGGAGTCTGCGTGTAGATGAGGCGGGATAACCACTACTCATGATGGCCAGTACAGTGAAACTCAACTATTTTTAATAAGTTAAGTAAAGTAGACATTGTATTTGTTTTCTACTGAATGAATGGCAATCTATAGACACTAAATGCCATTTTGATTGTCTCCTTAGTCCTGAGGTTTTATTTTGAAAATCTGAACATTATTTATGAATCAGATGAGATAATTATAAGTATTTATAATTGGCATGTTGGTCCTGATGTGTTCCTCTGCAGTGGGACAGTTGATGCAGGGAAGCCACATTAAAAACAAAATCTGTTGAGAAGTCTAATCAGTTTTTGTTGTTGATAGTATGTCATTAAAATCTGTCGGTTGTTTACAGAGTTCTAAGCATCCTTTTGATTCACAAAGTACAATCTTTATGTTTATGAAGTTATTTGACTGATGTGAGCTCAAGATTATCCTCACTGTTTAAATGAAGACAGCTGTTTAGCAGTGCATTTCCTCTCCATATGGACTGTTTGTCCTAAGAGAGATTACTGTTCGTGTTTTCTGCAGCCATCCTGATAAGGCCAACTGTGTGCCTGTAGGGTTTGCTTTTGAGCTGAGGGAAGTAAAAAAAACACATCATGCAACAGTGTTCCCTGAGGGATGGCATGCTGCAGAAGACACATGTGAACCGGGTATAGAGAACACGATCCATCATTAAATGAAGATGCCGCGCAGAAACCTAACACACACAGAATGATGTGATCAATGAGAGTGCAGTGCCTTGTGTTAGGACAGTCAAATGTCACACATTTCTCTAAGGGGAGATGCTTTTGAGGCTATTGAATGCCTCTTCGGTTGCCTCAGGAAATCTGGTACAAAGACATGCAACTGAGACTAAAGATAAAACTGCAAATAAACATTTTATGCAAAGAAAGTCATTTTAAATTTAAAAACAGGATCTAGACTGTAATGGTTATTATCTTTATAATACAAGTTCATGTTATTTCCACACAAAGGCTGGTATAAATGTCAAGGCTAATCATGGTCACTCTTAGCGAAAGTAATAATGAGTTTTATTTTTAAGTACCAGTTTCTTATAGCAGGGTTATATTTGTTCTGTTTATTATAAGGCCAGCAGCTAGTTAGCTTAGCATAAAGGCTGCAAGCAGGGAGGAAACAACTAGCCAAGCTTATCAAAATGTTAAATTATTCCAATTAAGAAAACATATCAGAATAATGGACTTGTTCAACAGTTTGGGATTCAAACGTTTGCTTTCTCACTGAGAGTCAATTGAAATAAATATGACTTCATATTCAGCCCTCAAGCTAAAAATAGCAGCCGGCTAGCTCAGCATAGAGACCTGAAGCACAACAGCCAAATTAAAGTACAATTAAATAAATAGTTTGACAATTCTTGAAACCGATCCTTCCATCATCAACATATAGGCTATAGATTTAAATATATTCTCTCATTTACATTTGAGTGTATTTCCCATTATCTACTTCTCTTCATTGTAGCCTATTTATCAAAAAGTCAAAAACAAACGTGTGTCTATTAAGTGCAATGCATATCTTTTATTATAAATCCAAAAAGAGTGTTTTATTATTTGGCTTCTCTAACCTCCTGCTTTTAGCATGGATTTAACATAATTAGTAACATCACATTATACAGAGAGAGAGAGATGAGGAGAGAAAGCTCAGATTTCATCGAGAGAGCTCTCTAGCGCTAATCTCTCTCTCTCTCGCTCTCTCTCTCTCTCTATCTCTCATCTCTCTCTCTCTCTCTCTCTCTCTCATCTCTCTCTCTCTCTCTATCTCTCTCTCTCTCTCTCTCTCTCTCTCTCTCTCTCTCTCTCTCTCTCTCTCTCTCTCTCTCTCTCTCTCTCTCATGAGCGATTAGGCTGGACTTCTGAAGCCACGGCTCCCTCTACAGTTTGTACAGTGATAATTTTCCATCCAGTGCAGGAAAAAACAATCAAACTGACTGTGTTGAACAGTCGGGGGAGACACACAACGGAGACGCGTCCGGAGATCTCGCACACATACACAGCTGCACACGTGAGATGTGTGTCTCAATCGGCATCGGATACATGCACAACCCGACAGACACATTTACATCTGGATCGCTCATCATTCGGGAGGCTGATTTACTGTTTCCTACGGACAAACCAAAACATGCCTCATTCTTTGAATACTTGAGGAGTGACGACAACTTTCTTCTCCTCGGACTTCACTATACTAATCGGCGAATATAGGAAACGTGGAGCTTTAAAAGAGGACAGTGACGGATTTGACAATGCAAACGGATCAGTTTCCCGATCAGGATTTGCAATTTTAAGCAGCAGCCAGTTTGGAGCCTCCGCAGCGGGGGGAAACCAAGATGATATCCGCCGAGATGCGTGGTTTCCTGAGGTTCCTATCCGTGGATGTTGCGGCTCGGTCGGGCTGCACACGGAGCCTTTGGGTGTCTGTGATTGGACCGGACACAGACTGGGGCTGACTGATTTTTGTCAGAGAGGAAATGTTTTGTGGAGGGGATCAATATGAGCTTCTGGCGCACGCGAGAAGGAGAGATCTTTACGAGCACACTTATTACTATGAAGACGGAAGCAAACCTGCAGGACTTTTTCTCTTGGATTTAAATTCAAAACAGACCACAAACAGCTTATTATCGACAGACATTTCTGTACAATCAATCTGATGTTTTTTTTTGGCTTTGCAAACTGTTGGAAGATTGTTGCAAGTGGATGTGGTTCGTGTTTCTTTTTGCACTGAAGTTTTCTTCCTCTCCTTTTTGAATATTATTCATTGGACTACGATATTGCACCATTTGAGTTTTAAAATATATATTCTTCAAACTCTTTTTCCTCCAACAAATCCTGGTCTTTTACAACAAAAAAAACGACTAGAGTTATGGGTAATTTTAACAATGCTTTTATGAAGACGAATACATAATAAATAATTTCCCTTAGTTTTAAATGCAGTAAAATGTATTCACACATGCCTGGCAACATGGCAGTGAACTGGGTTGTATATTCAGTTGTTTTACTTCCACTGTTCGCAGTGGGGACAGCTCTCTCCGGGGTCTTCAACGCCACAGACAGAGACATGTTTTCAGATGACTTGCTGCAGTGGAAATTTAAGTCGTCTGATTCCCATCCCAATCTATATTTTAACCAAGTGGATGTGTTGCACTTGAGGCAAAGGTCCTCCACCACCCACAGTCAAATATTTAAAGTCATCCGAGCGGCTGCGCTCACAATGTTGTCTAATGTCCCCTATTACATGCCCCCTGTGAAACATGCGGAGTTTACAAGCAAGTGGAATGAGATTTATGGGAACAACCTGCCTCCCCTGGCTCTCTACTGCCTGCTGTGCCCGGAGGACTCTGCTGCCCTGCAGTTTCTTATCAAGTTTATGGACAGGATGGCTGAATACCCGGACTGGAAGGTAACCAGTGCCCCCAACGACGAGGTCCCCACTGCGCACTCTCTCACTGGGTTTGCTACTGCTTATGACTTTGTTTACTCTTACCTGGATGAGCGACGGAGGGATGTTTACCTCAAGAAAATTCGATCAGAGACAGAGGAACTGCTTGAGGTGTCGAAGCACAGGGGGTGGGGGAAACAGTACCTCCAAAATCATCAAACCACTAACATATTGGCTGTCCTGATTGGTGCAATAGTGGTTGGATCACATGACTACCCAGAGTCAATGATCTGGAAACAAGTTGCAGTGAACTACATGGAGAAAACTATGTTTCTCCTTAACCATGTTGTTGATGGGTCTCTGGATGAGGGAGTAGCCTATGGGAGCTACACAGCCAAGTCCATCACACAGTATGTCTTCTTAGCTCAGAAACATTTCGACATTGACAACATGCAGAACAACTGGCTGCGGGAACACTTTTGGTTTTATTACGCTACTCTCTTGCCGGGGTTTCAGAGAACAGTTGGCATCGCAGACTCCAACTACAACTGGTTTTATGGGCCGGAGAGCCAGCTTGTTTTCCTCGACTCATTTGTCATGAGGAACGGGACGGGTAACTGGCTGGCTCAGCAGATTAGAAAGCACCGACCCAAGGATGGTCCCATGGGGCAGTCGTCTGCCCAGCGCTGGGCTACACTTCACACAGAATACATCTGGTACAACTCCCACCTCACTCCACAGCCTCCACATGACTTTGGAAAAGCTAAGATGCATATTTTCTCAAACTGGGGCGTGGTTACCTACGGAGCAGGGCTACCAAATGGCCAGGGTAACACTTTTGTCTCCTTTAAGTCTAGCAAGCTGGGTGGCCGTGCAGTCTATGACATTGTCCATGACAAGCCTTACTCTTGGGTAGAGGGCTGGAACAGCTTTAACCCAGGTCACGAGCACCCTGATCAGAACTCTTTCACTTTTGCTCCTAATGGACAAGTATTTGTTTCTGAAGCACTTTATGGTCCAAAGTACAGCTACCTTAACAATGTTTTGGTGTTTAGTCCGTCTCCTACCAGCCAATGTAACAGTCCGTGGGAGGGTCAGTTGGGGGAGTGTGCCAAGTGGCTGCGCTGGACTGATGAGGGGGTGGGTGATGCCAGAGGAGAGGTGATTGTCGCGTCCTCACACAGAGACACCATGTTTGTAAGTGGGGAAGCGGCGTTGGCTTATTCCCCTGCTATGAGACTGAAGAGTGTGTACAGAGCTTTAGTTTTGCTAAACTCTCAAACTCTGCTGGTGCTTGATCACGTAGAAAAGTGGAGTGATTCACCTGTAAAGTCCCTCAGTGCTTTTTTCCACAATCTTGACATTGACTTTAAATACGTTCCTTTCAAATTCATGGACAGATATAATGGCGCCATGATGGATGTGTGGGACGCTCATTATAAAATGTTCTGGTTCGACAGCCAGGGTCACAGCCCTGAAACCAGGATACAAGAGGCAGAGCAGGCAGCTGAGTTTAAAAAAAGGTGGACTCAGTATGTCAATGTCACTTTTCCAATGACAGGCACTGTCAGCAGAGTAGCTTACGTGTTACACGGGCCATATGTCAAAGTGTCTAGCTGTAAATTTGTGGATAATAGCAAGAATGGCGTGAGACTTTCTTTAACCTTAAATAACACAGAGACGATAGTGTCCATTGCTACAAACTACAAAGACATAGGGGCTAGGAGAACTTATCTAGGATTTGGAGGTCACTGTAAAGTTGAGGATATAAATCAAATCACTCGATATGGCCTTGGGACTCAACTTATCCCTAAACAAATCAGCACTGATAATCAGCTATTTGACTTTGGATTCACAGTCAATGTAATAGCAGGGGTTGTTCTCTGTGTGGCCATAGGATTTTTGACTATACAGAGAAAGTTTTATGTCTGCTTCAGCAGGCTGATGCGTTACACCCTCCTCTCTGTGCTCATTCTGTGGATAGCCGAGCTGCTGTTTGTGTCTAACAGCTGCGATCAGCTTCTCTGTGGGGTTAAATGGAAAGGTGCGGGCGCCAAAAGTGAAGTAAACAAACAAATCGCACTGTACGAGCTGCACCGGCTCCCCCTACCCACCGTTGTCATAACAACCCTTCCCGGATCGGGGTCAGAAATACTCAAGCACCTTTTCTACAACAGCTCAGACTTTGTTTACATAAGAGTTCCCACCGAGCACCTGGATATCCCTGAGACAGAGTTTGAGTTTGACTCTTTAGTCGACGCCTGTGAGTGGTCAAGGTCAGACGCTACGCACGGACGGTTCAAGATTATTCAGGGCTGGCTGCATTCGCTGGTCCACAACACTAAGCTGCACTTGCAGAATATTCAGCTGGCTGAGGGCAGTAGGGTCAAACAGCCCCAGAGAGGTGACCCCTCAAGGGACAGAAAGAAAAGATTTAGGAGGAGAGAGCCAGCGTCTGAGCTAAAGGGCAAGCTGAGAGCAAGTCTGGACAGAGATGCAGAGTATGTTAGGGAGATGAGACGCCATGTTGCGGAGTACCCTAACGCCCGAGTTGTCCTCAACATGCGGAGCGGAAGCTGGGCGCTTAAACTGCCTTTCATTCAAGAGGTGGTGGGACCTTCCTTGAGGACAATCTACTTGGTGAGAGACCCTCGAGCATGGATTTATCTCATGGTTTATAACAGCAAACCCAGCCTTTACTCTCTTAAAAACATCCCTCAGCACCTTTCCTTGATATTCAAGGAGGATGCTGTGAGTGACAGGTGCCCATCTTCTGCGCCAGAGTTTAAAATAATCCAGAGGCTCCTGTCCCGTTCTGAGACAAACCCCATTTTGATACTGGCTCATCTGTGGCTGGCTCACACCGCAGCGCTGCTGAGAGTCAGCGAGAGCCTCCCCGAGGAGTCCTTCCTCCAAGTTAAGTTTGAGGACGTGGTCAACTTCCCGCAGGAGACGGCGGAGAGCATACACACATTTCTGGGGGTGCCTGTGTCCCCCGCAGCCCTCAACCAGCTTATCTTCACCACCTCCACAAACCTTTACAATCTCATTTATGAGGGGGACATTTCACCAGCCAACATAAACATGTGGAGACAGAATATGCCTCGGAAGGACATGAGACTCATAGAAGATGTGTGTGGGAGTGTGATGAGGAGGCTGGGTTACACCAGGTTTGCAAATTAACTTGCTGGTCAGCTGATATTGAGCTGTCTTGTTTACTGTAGCTGCTATTGAGTTCTGTAAAAAACTTTTTTTTTGCACTGACTTTACATTTCAAAAAGCTGTTACAAGTTGAGGAGAAACTGCGTAGCATTTCTGTTTGTTTGGGTATTGTTCAGACCATGGCAACACATTTTTGCGAGGGAGGAATATTTTACATTAAAATAAATGGAAGGGAGCTTGTGTTTTTATTTTACCCCTAGGAGCCCTTCACACTCATGTTGCAGTCTTTTATTGAGTGAAACTTAAGACCTTTGCTGTCTTACATGCAGAGTTGGATTTTAGCATACCTTTTTATTTGACAACAGCTCAGTTTCACAGTAAATATTATGTAATGTTGGTTTTAGTAAGAGATGAGATTCCCTAATCTGTGATGTCAGAGATGTTTGCACATAATCCATATCTGTGATTACATTTTTTTTGAGCATGGATCAAAAGATTTGAGCTGGTTTGGAACAAATTCATTATGAAGCTCATTAAGAAGTAAGATTCATATGTATGGACAGTCTTCTTATTTGTGGCTTTGGGAGATCATTTCCAAAGAGTCATTTGGCTGTCAGGAATTTAATATCTGATCTTTGTGTGCCGTTTCCCTTTAAAACTACGAAATGTTGCAATGTATAAACTCTTTTACTAGGCAGAGAAAAATACAGTATTGCTTTAATATAGATTTATGAATGACATGGATTGTATTTTCATCACTAGACGGATTTTAGTTTAGCTCAAAGATGTTATGATAGCTTTGTGGTTTAGCACTTGTGCAGGAACTCTTTTTATTGTATGTGGGATACAGTGCATTTCGGATATATACAACGTCTGAAGATATGTGAACCTCAGAAGATATAATATGTAGAAGGAAGAAAGTTAGAAGTATTTATGGATTCCAAAGACACATATCCCAAAGGATCGGGTATGAATAAGATTATTATAACTCCCTTTAGCATTTATTGAATAAGATCAGAGGAAAGTGCTTAATAGGGATCAAACTGGAGAAAAAAAAGAAAACCTGTCAGCCTTGACACATTTCTAGTCAAAGCAATTTCCAAAACACCCCCCTCAGCTACTCATAATAATCTGCAAAATGCCATAACGGACGCTTGGCCTGTGTGCTATTGTTGTGCTGTCTGTCTAAAAGGCCTGGAGGAAATGCAAACAGTTTCCATTTCCTGTCGTGGTCAATCAGATATCCATAATCTTTCTAGGCCTTTGTCTTGAGAGAGTTCAGCGAGCAGTGAATTGAGCAGGGACTAAACATGGGATGAATATTAAGTAACGCTACAGAAAAAAAAGTCAGAGACCATTACTCTGTGATGTTATGCTCTTTGGCCTGGCCAAACATTTTTTTTCTCAGTAACCTTCAAAGCTTCAACATTTCTGTACTGTAAATGGATCACATGTAACATGCACATGGCTCACAATCATACGCTTTCCCATTGCTTTCTGAACACACAAAACCATACTGTGCTCATTTGGAAAAATCCATCTTTCCTCAACAGTCCTGTTTGTTTTTTTCTCTACGAACACTGAAACACTTGACTGCCTGTAAAAAAAATCCCTTTGATGTTTGTGGTCTTTGAATGTGTAGACTTGGCAGACATGCTTTCACTTTGGTGTTGCAATCCTGTTACCAACTCTGTTTTGTATTTGCTCGTGGGGATATGGTTCCTTGCTTATGTGGCCTTGAATTACAATCATTTTCTTTATAACGTTTTTTCTGTGGGGCTCCGGAGCAAGAGGAGGAGATGTAATGAAGACAATAAATTCATAAATATATCAGCAACCACTCTTTTGTTTGGTACATTGAATCATCTTGTGCTTTGAAAACAGACTGTACCATGTGATTATGTGACATAAATCCTCATTAGCTTCATATAGGGTTATTATACTCATGTTTAACCTCTATTATCTATCACTGCAAAAGACGGCATACATTTTAATAGTCTCTTTCCCTGTTGGTTACTGCAAAGCCACTTGTAAAACGTGTGCAGACGTCTCTGTGCTGCTGCCACAATTATGCAGCATTGAAATCTCCATTTTATTAGACATGGATGACAGAAGCCTAATTGCTTGGGTGACGTGCTTGACAAGGAGGAGCCAACAATTAAAAACATGTCAGGAAATGATTTTTTCACGCTCTGACTGAGATGGGACTTTAACAGGAGCAGCCTTAGAAAGAGCACATGCCGTATCTCACATCTCAGACCAGTCACAATGAGTCAGTCATTTCATTACTCATTTGTTCTTGATCCCTCCTGTAACACTCTGCTGTTGGCAGGGTCCTCAGTCCTAATCCTTACATGCATAGACACATTCTTCACTGAGAAAAACCTCAGGCAAATTCTCGGGAAAGGAGGTTTCTTCAAGTTCAGGCTTGTTCTCGCCAGTTAGGTAGCCTATTTTGATTTATTCTGCAATCATGAAATGTTGGAGTATTAATATTCTCGTTATCAAGTCTGAATTTGACCTTCTTATGTTCAGATTTAAAGTGTGTGGGAGAAGTCTTGAGGTAGTAAGTGGCATCAAGTGTAGAAATACTGTTACAAGGGAAAGTCCTGCTTTAAAAATGATACTGAAGTGCTCAAAATGTGCTTAAAGTCTACAAGTACATTTCTTTGCAGAACGGCCCTTTTCAGATAATGAGTATTATAATATTTAACTATAATAATTAATTAATGTGTATTGTACATCACTTTAAAATGTGATGCTGTTTCAATTCCTTATTTGACACTTTTCAATTTGACTTGGTAGTAATATCAATTACAACCTCAATGAAAAATAATTAATAATGTGTATTCATAATCCAAATCTGTAAATATTAGTCAAATTAGTATAACGTACTGTAGAAGTAAAAAGTAGCCTTAAAATAGTATTTTATAGTTATCCCACTACATGAGTAAATGAAATGATATTACAGTATGTATTTACATCACAGTTACAGTTACTTTGTGCAGTTCACTTTTTGGTGCTACTTTCTCCCAAATAGCTTGCAATTTCAACTTATTGCCTTATAATGTATAATTAATAATATACTGATGCTTTATATAGATCAATTATAAGCCATTATTGATAACAACATGTGGGTGGCCAGGGTTTGAAAATGATTAATGGTGGTAATTATTCTCCTCCATCAGGCAGTGAAATACATTAAATACACACCCAAGGAATATACATTTTAAGGTACTTTAGGATTTTAAGGTATTTCTACTTTATTTTTTCGGAATCTAATCATGTCATGTTTAATAATATCTCTCACTGTCGCCATTTTAATGTAGAAAAAAAAATATTTTGGTACCTCTTGAAAATGTTTCCGATATGACTTCCTTCGCTTAAGAGCAGAACACTGCAGGTCATCTGCACCACAGTCTATTTACTCACTACTAACACCTACAGCTGGAAACTTGATGGAAATCAATAATTTATTAACCTACCAAAGGATTAACTAAATGTAGATTACTGACTCACTGACCTCTGACCCTTTATCAATGACTGTATTAGCATGTATGACTACAGACTTAATGGCTTATTTGAAAAAGATAATAGATAGTTCATAAATGAATTGTCATCCAGATACGCTGCGGCTGAAAAGGCAGAGCGAGTGTCCTGAGAGAGGGGAACAAACAGCAGGCAGAGAGAGGTTGGCTAGCATCATCCAGTTATTGGCTTATAAACTGATCCATAAAGAAAAATAGATAGTTTATGAACCACAATAAACATTTTCTACCATTTTATAAAGCCTGTATATTTCATGATACTACTTTAAAATAGGTCATCCTGTATATGACATTTATAGTTTGTAATTATTTAATTCATATTTAATTAAACATTTTCATAATACAAGTACACTGAGAACAGTGTGATGTTTCCCAGGTTGTGAAATCTTAGTCTTATTAAAAAGTTAATAAAGAAACGTCCCCATTTATGACTTTATTGACATCACTTCCTGTCAGATGTGATGTTTATCCTCCCTTGCTGAAGGCTAATAAGAACACCTAAAACATTAACTATTTATGAATTGAGTAGTTTTTACATCCTGGAAAACCACACGTTTCTCTTATTAATGTTGTATAACTGATCTATAAAGCAATTTGATTTATGTATTTACCATTAATAAAGTAGTTATTTTAAACACTTTATAAAAATAGTTAGGTGCTACTCACTTTATATTTGTGAGATAGAACACAGGGCACTTTATCTATTGCCTTGCTTTCCCCCATAATCAGATTCACACGTTAAATCTATATACTGAACCAATGGAATTAAACTTCATCTAAAAAACAGGATTTAAATTAAGCTGTATGTCTGAGTGTTTATTTCCCTTCTGGAAATAACACTGCTTCTGCAGGGGAAGACAACCATGCTTTATGTAAACCTTTTGATGTGTGATCACAAGAAGCAGATTTGCAGAACAAATTTAAGCTCCAAGGTTGTCTCACAGATTATATTCTACGTTTGATAAGCAATACGTAATCACTGCATGAAATAAGGTTTTATATAGAAAATGATGAAAAGCTGCATTATAATCTAATTCTACGTGGCGGCTCGGGTGACTGATGAAGTGGCTCTCTCAGACTATTAAGCACATGGAGGTTATCCAGATAGAAAAGCCGACTCAATTTCAGCTGACTAGTCATACCCTTCGCCGTTCCACCTTTTTATCTCTCGCCACTCGTGAGTCCGAGTCCCAGGAGAGCCTCTCCCTCGCCGGAGGCCATCGCTCCTGCCACTGCTCATTAATTAACCTTTGCTGCAGCCACCATCACTCAGACAGCGGCCTGATATTCTGAAGAGGAGCAATCATCAATACCGCGTACGACTAATGTGCTGGAGAATTAGGCCGTTGATGGAGAGCAGCACCGTCATTGTTTTATAACTTCAGTATGAATTCCACGTCTTGTGTCAGAGGACACGGCACAATTTATACTTCACCGACAAGGTGTAAGCAGCTGGCAATGCCCCTCTATGTTCAGTCGTTTTCACTTTGGTAAACAATGCCTGTGAGGTCCGCACACCCCACTGTGCACATTTAACTGCTGATGATACTGCTGTGTTTGGATATGGGAAGGCGCACGTCCCGGGAAATTGCTATTAATAAGAGTTGACTTGTGAGGAAATATGGCGCTTTGTCAATTTGCAGCTTGAGGCGAGTCATTTCTGAGGTGAAAATGGGATCCTCCGTGCCAATAAAGAACAGCGGCAACTGCTAATGAAGCCCAGTCTGGTGTTATAGCGCTGGGAAATCAGACCTGATGAGACATTTTGAATTCCACTTCTGGCAAATCAGAGTCTAAAATACTCCTTAATGCTTTACACAGTCCTCCTCATTGACATTTTTCTCTCACTTCAGTTTGACAGAATATATAATCTCACACTGAATTAGTCGAATTTAGATAATTCCATGTTAACTGTCAAGCTACACTATTTCAAAGAAGTCCATAAAGATGTCAAGGTCTGCTGTGCTTTTCAAATATAATTTCTCCAATTTGCAAATACTTGTTCTACTTTATTCTTAAAAGTTGAGAGTTTATTTGACCATGCCTCTGTCTGAAGGTCCAATATAAGTGTATGGAAATTGTATTTTTCCTGCATAGCAACATGAAATGACGTTATGACTGAGGCCTTTCCTTTGAGAATTCTTTGACTTTGGAAGTGAGGCCTTCAGTATAAACCATCTTAACCTGTCTCCCTTGACAGTTTGCTTAATCCCCTCTCTTGTTCTCTCTATAACAGACCGTTTCTTCAGGGCAGGCGGAGCTCTGACTCTTGGAAATTGAGCCACTGTAGTATGACTTTGTGCTGGGCTCCTCTCTTTCTCCTATTTCTACTCATGTGGTTTGCTTGCAGTCAGTGCTTGAATTGGAATGAAAAAGGTGCCAGTACTCTAAAATCAGCAACTTTTTCAAGTCAATTTTATATATACAGCCCACAAACAAGAATTTGGCTACTATAATGCTGGTGGGTTTGTCTCTTTACTACTGTATATTTTAGAAAGGTTCACTGTACTTAACATTTTTTATGATAGGCAGCGGATATGGCTAAAGCTCAGTAAGGTTAATATTAACTGAATATATAGCAATCAAAGTCTAGATCTTCTGCTGAAGACACATGAAGCAGAGACCTTTCAGGTGAGAGCCCCTCTGGTGGTGTTCAACATTAATGACAAGGAAACAAAGCTCTGATCAGAAGCATTTTTTATAAAAAGCTTTAACAAAATTAAGTATTTCTGTACATTTTGAATGCAATCTAACTTTCCAACTCAGAAAACGAAAAAGTGCCAAAAGTCTTCTCACATGGCTGAGCTGCTTTGCAATATACTTCACCACTGAAGAATACAAATATGTATAAAGTAAACTATGATGCAATCTAACTTTCCAACTCAGAAAAAATGATAAAGAGCATGAACAAAGAACATGTAAAAACAAATGCAAAATGTGCACAATCTAAAATGAGAAACTGTAACTGCAAGTAACAAAGTCTGAGCCATGGTAAAGAGTTACATTGAACACCAAGCTGATCAGATAACTCCCTGGTTGGTCTCAAGTCCTTCTATCTCCAGGATCTGTACAAATCGGCACATTATGCCAAAAGTCTTCTCACTGGGTGAGCTGCTTTGCAATATACTTCACATTGTTAGAAAAGGCTCCAGAAGGCCTTGGGGACATCAGTATCAGGGGCTGGAGCTGGACAGGCTCTTTCATCAGCACTTCTCCTTCCCTTTGCCAGCCAGGACCTCACATACTGTTCCGGATTGAACTGTCCTAGTGATGGTCCATTACATTTAATGAA